GAGCACATCAACTTCTCATCAAGTTCTCTACTTACTTAGAGTAAGTAAAATCAGAGTGGTTGAATTGTGCTTCCTCAAGAACCATGTAAATAACATTTATGGAATATTAAATATATGTGAGGGCCTTGAGTTCTCTGCCATAAATAGTGAACAATATGTTGGGCATACGTGATTAAAATTGTTGAATACAATGAAACTTTAATTTTTCTTATGAATTAAAACATTAACCTGATCTTTTTACTATGGATAACTGAGGTGTTTCATAGGTATTGATAATTGATTTTATGTACCCTGTATGATACATTTTATATGCCAATATTTTGTTGAAGTATTTTACATGTACGTTCACGAGATATGTTGATCTTTCTTTTCTTGAATGTCTTTATCTGATTTTAACATTAGGGTAATATTGGCCTCATTGAATGAGTTAGGAAGAAAGTCTTCTTTTCTGGAAGACTGTGCAGAATTCTTACCATTTCTTCTTTAAATTGTTGGGAGAATTCACCAGTGAAACCATCTGGGGCATCGCCACTATTTTTGCCTTCAGTATCGTTGCCCAAGCAGTTTCAATGCAGGCAATTTCACTGCAAACATTTTCACCACGCAACTACTTGGCCATAAGGCAATTTTGCCATAAAAGATAAAAATAACTCGTTGACAGTTTTGGTTTCATTTGGTTACAAATGGGTTTCATGATGAAGCATGAAAAATGGATAACAAAATTAAAAAAACTTTACTGCAAAAAATAAAAATACAAAACGCTTGAATACAAGCCCTTGAATATTTAAATGTGTGTAGGTCCATGAGAATAAGGCACAAAGAACTGATTTTATTTTGTGGATTTTTAGCTAAGCACTGGTCTTCCAAGTCTTTCCTTCCTAGTATTATACATGTTTTGTTGTTATTTCTTTCCTTGTTGATTCATCTCCCTGTCCTGGATTCTGCTTTTTTTTTTTTCACTAAAATGTCTTCCTTCGTTAAGAGAGGTATCAGTCTCATCCAAATACTGAGATGCATATTTGTAACCAAATGAAAAACACATGAACCAAATGAAAACCACATGAAGCAAATGGAAACCATTTATAACCAGATGAAACCAAAACTGTCAATCAACTAGTCATTTTATCTTTTAACACAAAATTGCCTTTACAGCCAATGTGTAATGAAACCCCTTGTGGGGAAACTGTGGCAAAGAGTCTTACAGGGAAAATATCTATAACCCACCTGGAGTTGATGCTTTCCATTTTGCAAGATTATTAATTCTTGATCAATTTGTTTAATGGATACAAGCCTATTCAGATGATCTATTTCTCCCATGTGTGAGTTTTGGTAGTTTGTATTATCAAGGTATTGGTCCATTTCAAATAAATTATCAATTTTGTTGTCAAAGAGTTGTTCATAATAATCTCTTATTGTCCTTTTAATGTCTAAGAAATCAGTATTGATGACTCCTCTTTCATTTTCAACATTAGTAATTTGTGTCTTCTCTCTTTTTGGCTTCATTAACCTGGTTAGGAGTTCATCAATTTTATTGATGTTTTCACCTGTTTACTTCATTGATTTTCTTTATTGATTGTCTGCTTTAAATTTCATTGACCTATACTCTAATTATTTTTTCCTTTTGCTTTAGGATTAAATTGTTCTTCTCTCTCTAGTTTCCTAGGTGGAAGCTTAAATTATTGATTAGATCTTTCTTCTTTTATAATATATGTATTCAATGCTATAAATTTCCTTCTAAGCACCGCTTTTGCTACATCCCACAAAATTGGATTGTCGTATATTCATTGTCATTTAGTTCAAAACATTTTTAAAACTTCTCTTGAGACTTTTGCATTGACCAATGTGTTATTTAGAAGTGTGCTGTTTAATCCCCAAATATTGGAAGGTTTTTTCAGCAATTCTTCTGTTTCTATTTTCTGATTTAATTAATTGTTGTCTAAGAACATACTTTGTATGATTTCTATTCTTGCTAAAGTGTGTTATGGCTGACAATATGTTCTATCATGGTGAATATTCCATGTCAGCTTGAAAGAATATGTTTTCTACCGCTGTTGGACGAATCATTCTATAAATGTTAATTACATCCAGTTAGCTGATGGTACTGTTCACTTCAACTATATTCTTACCGATTTTCTGCCTGTTGGATGTATCAGTTACTAAGAGTCAGGTTGAAGTCTCTAACTATAAAACAGGGTTTGTCTATTTCTCCTTGCAGTTCTATCAGTTTTGCCTCATGCATTTTATGTTCTGTAGTTAGGTATATACATGTTAAGGGTTTTTTTTCTTACAGAATTGACCCTTTTACCATTATGTAATGCCCTTTTTTATCCCTGATAATTCTCCTTGCCCTGAATTCTGTTTTGTCTGAAATTAATATAACTACTTCAGCTTTCTTTTGATTAGTGTTAACATGACACAGTTTTGTCAATACTTTTACTTTTAACCTGTGTCTTTATATTTAAAGTGAATTTCTTGTATACAACATATAATTGGGTCTTGTTTTTTATCCACTCTCACAATTTCTGCCTTTGAATAAGTTTATTTAGTCTATTCACATTTAAGATGACTATTGATATAGTTGGATTAATAGCTATCATATTTGTAACTGTTGTCTATTTGTTACACTTTTTCTTTACTTCTTTTTTATCATCCCTAGTTTTTCTACTTTCTCTGGTTTGATTAAATGTTTCATATCATGCCATTTTCTCTCCTTCTTAGCATATTAATTATATTTATTTTTTAAAAAATTTAATGGTTTTCCCAGAGTTTTTAATATGTATTTACAAATAATCTACGTCCACTTCAGATAATACTATACCACTCCACAAGGAGTGCTGGTGACTTATAAAAGAGTATTCCCAATTCTTTCCTCCCATCCCTTGTAACATTGCTGTCATTCATTTAAGTTACCCATGAGCTACAATCACCCAATATATTTTTACTAGTATTTATTTGAACAAAGAATTGTTTCTTAGATTAAGAATAAGAAATATAAAAGAATTAACTTATTTTCATTTATTTCTTTTTGATATTCTTTCTTTATATAGGTATTAGTTTTTGACCTATATAACTTCTATTCCCCCTAAAAAACTTTTAACTTTTCTTGCAGGGCAGGTCTACTACAACAAATTCCTTCAGTTTTTTATTAGTCAGAGAAGCTTCTCAAGGATACTTTCACTGCATATAGAATTCTAGATTGTTTTTGTTTCTTTTTTCTTTCACTACTGTAAATATTTCAATGCACTTTCTTCCTGTTTGTATGGTTTCTGATGAGAAGTCTGCTATAACTTACATTCTTTTCCTCTGTAAGTAAGGTTGCTTTTTTCTCTGTCTACTCTCAAGATTTTCTTTTTGTCTTCGATGTTCTGCAATTTGAATGTGATTTGCCTATGTGGAATTGTTTTCGTATTCATCCTGTTTTCTTATCTGTACCTTCTGGATTTTTGATTTGACATCTGTAATTAATTTTGGAAGATTCTCAGCTATTATTACTTCAAAGTTCTTTTGTTCTTTTCTTTCTTCTTGTATTAATCATATTATGCATATGTTACACTCTGCAAATTTTGTCCCATAATTGATGGACATTTTCTTCTGATATTTTTGCTATTTTTTTCTCTTTGTATTTCATTTTGGGATGTTTCTATTGAGATATATTCAAACTCACATTTCCTTTCTTAACCGTGTCTGGTCTTTGAATCCAACAAAGGTATTCTTCCCCTCCGCCCCCAAAGGCATTCTTCATTTCTGTTAAAATGTATTTGATTATTAGCATTTCATTTGATTCTTTATTAAAGTATCCATCTCTCTACTTACTTTATCCATCTTTGCTTGCTTTTGCCTACTTTTCATTAGAGCCCTTAACTTATTGATAATAGGATTTTCAGTTCTGTATCTACTAATTCCAAATTTTGTGTCATATCTGAAACTGGCACTGTCTTGCTTTTTCTCTTCAGGTTCATTTTTCACTTATCTTTTGTCATGCTTTTAAAAATTTTTTTGGTGAAGAAGGTTGGCCCTGAGCTAACATCTATTGCCAACCTTCCTCCACTTTGCATGTGGGATGCCGCCACAGCATGGCTTGATGAGTGGTGTGTAGGTCCATGCCTGGGATCTGAACCCACGGACCCTGTGCTACCAAAGCAGAGCGTGCAAACAACCACTACACCACCAGGCTGCCCTCAGTCTTTTGTAATTTCTGTTGAAAGCTAGAAATGATGTATTAGGTAATAGAAAATGAGGTAAATAGGCCTTTATTCTCAGGTTTTATGTTAATTTTTCTAGCATTCAAGATGTATTTAATGATTGCTCTAACTGTAAGTCCTAGAGACTTCAGTTCCCCTATTTACTTCTTTTTGACTACTCCATGGTCCTTTGGTCTCCCTAAGAACTCATTCTTAAGTAGAGTCTGTACCTTGCAGCTCTTTCCATTGTAGTCTACCATTATTATACTGGAGCCCTGTTGACCTGGTTGTAAGGTGTGAGGGAAGGAAACCTTATATAATGTAATGATTAAGTTAATACAGTCTTTTCGTCATCCTGTGTCCCCAGGCTGTGACCTTCCCATGTGTTTCTTAACCTTTTTGTTTCTCTTCTCAAGTGAGACAGGAAGGCCAAAGGATACTAAAGTGGAAAATTGCCCTTCCCTCAGGCTGGATAAGAATCTGGCAAGGTCTTTTGCCTTGAAGAATAAGCCTTTGTTGTAGAAAATACAATGTATATTTTGAAATAGTTACTTTTTCCTCCCCCTGCAAGAAACATGAGGGTATTATTCTTGGATCTTCACTATGAGAATCTAGGTGGGTTCTTTGAGGTAACCCCAAGACTATGTCAATAGAAATTCTCATTCTTAGTTCACACTCAGTCTTCAGCCGTTCATCAAAATTGCTCTTTAAGTGTTCCTATCAGGTTATAGCTTCAGCAACATCTGCTCTATATAAGTCAATCTCATTTGTGATTCTCTGTACTCAGCTTTGACTCTCTGTATTTGTTTATCTTTCCAGATTTTGGAGTGACAGTTTGTCCTGTGAACTCAATCCCCTGGTGAGTCCAAGAAAAGTCATTGATTTTCAGTTTGTTCAATTTTTTTCTTGTTATAGTGACAAGGAGATACTTTTCGAACTCTTTATATGTCATAGCTGAAACAAACTAGTTATTTCTTTTGAATAAAAAATGTAACAACCTGATATCATTCTAAAACAGACAATAGTGCAACTAACACCATATAATATAACAAAGATTCTCTGCACAATTTGAAAAATATAATAAAAGAGAAAAATAAGTCAGGCTTCATTTCTTCATTAAATAATATACACTGATCACTGGAACTTTAATGATGAATAGGACACTGACCCAGCCTTCACATGAAATACTGGCCAGTATGGAAGGTTGACATATTAACAGGTAATTGCCATGAAGTTCCACAACAGAGTGGTATGGCAGCACACAAAAATTACCATTTGTTTTTACTTTAATATTTTACGTAAGTATGTAGTGTATGCAGCTATGTTACTTAATGCTGGTCATGAGGTTGAATCCAGCAGTGCTAGAAAGGAAAAAAGAGAGAAAGGAAGAAAGAAGGAAGGAAGGACAAAAGCAAGCAAGCAAGAAAGGTGATCCATCATTATACAGTACAATTTTTTTTACTTTTTGAGACTATTAAACTCATGATGTGTTACCAGCAAGGAGATAGTTAGAATAACATGGATACTCAAAAAAAGATTTCTTGGAGAGGATGATACTTAACTCGGTCATGAAAGGTGATCAAGAATTAAAACGTAAAAGGGACTGAGAAAATGAATTCCTGGAAAAGTGAGCAGTATAAATTGAAACTAGATCTCAGAGTAGAGTTGAGTTGGATTTTGGAAATGTCACAAGATAAGAATAACTGATAGATAATTCATAGAATAGCATTCAGCAGATTTTAAACGGTTGTTGATGAATTGCTTTGAGACAATAATGAAAGCTATGATCCTTCTCCCTGGAAATGCCTTACAATTTTATGGTGTATGTTAACTCACTGAAGCCAGTCTAGATCATATTAGGTGATGTATGGGTACAGTGAATGAGGCCAAGGAGAAAGGCCAATTTTAAGAAGACAGTAAAGGAAGAGCCCATATAAGGACTGAGAAGAAATGATCCAAGAAAAATAAGGAGACCAGAAAAGATTTCATCATTTACAAGAATAGAGTGTTACAATATAGCCAGTTGACTGTGGCAAATACAGCAAAGAGGTCCAGAAGGACAGTGATTGAAAAGTGCTTATTGGGTCTGAGATTACTGAAGCCATGTATGACCTTTACCAATGCAGTTAAGCTGGAATATTGAATATTCATAGTAGATTTCTATGGATTATAGAGTGAGTGGGAAATGAGGAAGTGGGGACTGTGAGCAGGAGAATTTAGGCTTAGCCTAAGAGGAGAGGAGAGAATAAATAGGATGTATATGAGGTCATAAGATCTAAGGAGGGATTGTTATTTTAAAATGGAAAAACTTGACCTTGTTTATAAGATGGGGGGAGGTGAATGGAAAGGAAAATGCTGAAATGCGGGAAAATGCAAAAATGAGGAAAAAAGTGTATAACTGATGAAGTCCCAAATACTACAGGAAAGGAATGTATCAAGGCTGCAGATGCCCTAGATAAACGTGGACGGGAGGAGTGACAATTCAAAGGCTAATCTGACAGCTCTAAGGGAAAAGGGATTATGTCTCATTTATTTGCCATTATGTTTTTACTTGAGGAAATTTTTGTTCCTTTCAATCAAATAACCATCTGCCGAGGCCTTAAGTAATCATCAGAAAGAAAAAGATTTACAGGCAATGTTGTTTGCTAGAGTTTTATTTATAATAGAGGATAAATGAAAGCTCTCTAAATGTCTAAAAATAGAAAAATGACAAGTAAATAATACTACGTCTAAATTATTTGGCCATTAAAATCATATTTTCCATTTCCATTATCCATTATGCCTGTGACACACAAGATGCTCAGTAAATATTTGTTGAATAAATACACAATCATCTGGATAGAGTAGCTTAATGTAAGCCCATTTCTACATGCTCTTATTTTATTGAGAGATGGATTCTCAACCTTTGTGAAATTCCATGTTAAACCATAAAACTTCTGGTTTGTTCCTGTGAGCTTGGGTAAAGAAGACGTTTCAGGGCAACTCTTTTCCACTATGTGTCTTCTTTCTGTATTGCTCTAAAATAGACATTGCTATCAGCTAGATTCCCTAGTTTGATGAATAACACTGAAACACTATCATATGCCATGCACTGCAGTCAAAGATCATCCTTACTCACCAGTCTGATTTTGGAGGATAGGTATGTATAGATCATTTTCTTAAACCATCGCTCACCACGTGCCCCTTTATGCTCTCTCTAATATTGCAGGGACGGGAGCCTGAGAACACCATTTACATTACTCTTAACAAGCACCTGCAGGAGATCAGGAAGGCAGAAGAGAAGCAGAAACCACTATCTCTTTCAGTAATGACAGACTAATGCTTGCTCCTACCTGGCCTGAGATTTTTCAGCAGCTTCCACTGAATGGTGGTGCACACAGCTGTGACCATGCAGCATTTCCTTCAGATCTGTACCTGGCAACATGGCAACTTCCTGATTCCTTGAAAGTTAGTCAAAACTAGGACTTATTGTTGGCCTTGCCTATGTGTTACAACTCTGGTTCTTTTAAAAGCTTTGAAACCACCTGTAATAAATCTCTTATTGCTTGAAACACCCAGAGTGGATTCTCTTTTCCAGATCAAACACTGACTGATAAAATTACCCTCAAGTTGGAAGGAAGAGGCTGAAATATAAACTCTGTGGCTTAGTTGGACTGTGCTCTCTCCACTGCTCTTGGCTTGTTTACCTTCACTGCTGGATATCTTCCTTGTTCTGTATTCTACATACTCTCATTTTCTGCAGGTAGTGTTATTACAACTATGTGGAATAGATTATGGTAGGTTTTAATGCAAACGACTTATCATTTGGAGATTATAAGAAACTAAATAAATTAGATCCAGAAGTCTTTTTTTCTGAAAACCCATTTGTTCTATTTGGGAAGTCACTGGGTTGACTAGATGTTTTCCTATCACTGATTTAATGTTCTAATCAAAGTTATTCATTCTGAGTTTATATTATGCTGCATTACTGAGCAAAATGACAAGCCTTCTGGTAAAGCTGTCGCTTCAAAATGATGCCTTCTGTGGTGGTTTAGTAGGAAATTGGCGGTGAATTTCAAAGTAATAACAGGGTTTTGAAAATTAAAGAAACAATTAATAAATAGACATGTGCTCCATGTCTCCCACTGTCCAATTCATCCTATATATTGGTGTCAGAATATTTCTTTATAAAAATCTTTCCGATTATGGCATCACTATGCTCAAGTCTTTCCAAGTCTTACTATGAATACAGACGAAATACAGACTCTAAACCACAGCATGTAAGTTATTCTATGATGTATGCCTTCTGCAGATCTTCCTCAACTTACAATGAGGATACATCCCAATAAACCCATTGTAACTTGAAATTATCATGAGTTGAAAATGCATTTAATACACCTAACCTACCAAACATCATAGCTTAGCCTAGCCTACCTTAAACATGCTCAGAACACTTACACTAGCCTACAACTGGGCAAAATCATCTAACACAAAGCCTATTTTATAATAAAGTGTTGAATATCTCATGTAATTTATTGAATACTGTACCAAAGGTGAAAAACAGAGTGGCCATATGGAAACAGAATGGTTGTAAGTGTATTGGTTGTTTACCCTTGTGGTCACCTGGCTGACTGGGAGGTGCGGCTCACTGCCACTGCCAGCATCAGGAAAGAGGATCAAACCACATATCGCCAGCCTGGAAAAGATCAAAATTCAAAATTCAAAGTACAGTTTCTACTGGATGGCTATTGCTTTCACACGATTGTAAAGTCAAAAAATCATTAATTCTAACCATCATAAGTCAGAGACCTTCTGTATTTGTTTTTCCAAGCATCTTAACCATCGAAGAAGACTGGACCATTTGCCGTATACAAGACCATGACAAATCTTAGTTGCTAGCTCATGTTCTTCCCTTTCGTCTGTCCTTGTCAAACTCTCCCCCAGTCTTTAAGTCTCAGTCCAAACATCGTTTCTCCATAAATAGCTCTTGATTACATCAACTCTCTTTAAATTCTCAGGACTTTTTCTTTATTACTCTTTTAGGTTTGAAGCAATGCAGAGTAGTGAGAAAGGCAGTTGAAACCCACAGACTAGAATCCAGCAGGATGGCCAACATTAATGATATAGATTTTGAACTTACTACACAGAAGTGATAAATGAAAAGTACTAGATAGAGGTGATTACGGTTTGGTAAACAAGCATTTTAGCTGGCATATTTAAATGAATGTTATCCTAGTCTAAATTTGGGACTGCAAAATAGAAGATGTTAGGCTTAAAATATATAATAAAAAACCAACCCAATCACTCAGTAAAAGTGGTTCAGTTCACTAAACTTTGATCTTGTTACCTTTTGTGATAATTGCTTATTAAAAAGACTGCCTGTTCTGTGCTTGGTAAACCCTTGTTTCAAAGTTGGGTTAACTTTCTTTACTTTTTTCGGAGGTAATTTAAGCATACTGAAAATGATTCTCTTCATATTTTCACGGTATTTTCTTACTTATTCATCCGTGCATTTATTCCCTCAACTTTTTAGTACATGTAACATGCAGAACTTAGTAGCAGGAATTGGAAGTGGGAAAAGACTGGTGAGCTTGAGAACAACAGCTGCTCTGGTTGACTGGACCCTGGGTTTTCTGAAGAGAAATAGTGGGAGAAAGAATTTCCAAGGCCAAATGAAATCGGGTCATGGAGGATGTCAGGTAATTATGCAAAAGATTCTGATTTATTCAGTGAGCAAAGGGAAACTAATAAACTTTGGGTCAGGGAAATAAGAAGATCGGGGATATGATTTAGAAAAAAGTGATTAGTAGAAGCAAAAGATTGGCATCTAGGGAAATATTTAGGCAACTATCACAATCTTCTGTGTGATGGAGTGATAACATAGTGGAAAGAGAAACAGAGAGAGGTTTTTGAAGCCAGGTGTTCTAGAAGTATAACTTGGAAACTGCTTGGATTCATGGGGCATAAGCAAGATCAGCTGTAAAATTTGCAGAACCCCAGTGCAAATGAATGATGTTTAAAATGTGGAGGCCCTTGTTCAAAAGGCAGGAAGAAATTACTATTAAAAGTACTATAATAGAAAGCTTTTTCCTTAAAAATATTTCATTACTTATAAAATATAAGAGGAGGAATTGAGATACATGAGTAAAAACATAAACTTCAAAATTGTACGACATTAATATTTTGGTCTCATAATGTTATAATATAATAAGTAATAATATGTTAAATATGTGATGTATTCATCAGGCGTAAGGTTTTTCTGACTCATTTTTTTGCAGTCATTTACTAGATCATCAAACTTTATGCTTTTGGTATACAATACTTTATACTTTATTTTCAATTTATACAAAAATACACTGGAACACATAGAAGCCAGGTATTTTCTTCCCGCTTCTCTTGGAACGCTCATTCTCCAGACGTCTGAAGGGACACTACCCCAGGGAAAACACTTTCATGCTGTAAGAAGCCCCAAGGACATGGAGAGTGGAAGTGTAGGTGCTCCAGGCTGTGCCCCAAGTAAGCCCAGCCTTTTGGCATCTCAGCCCAGGCATTGCACCTGTGAGTGAAGGAGCCTACAGTGATTTCAGCCTCAATCCATTAATGAAGTCACCCTCAGCCTTCAAGTGTTCCCAGCTGGGGGTCCAGACATCCTAGTACAGAGACACTTCAGCCATCCCCACTGTGCCTTGTTTGAATTCTTAAACGTTAAAATCCATAAGCGTAGTAAAATATATGTCTTCCACCACTAAGTTTAAGATTGGTTTGTAACACAGAAATGGTAACTGGGACAACCTCTGTCTTCCACACGAGTTGAGACAAAAACAAAGTTTCTTTTCTCTTTTTCCTCTCAGCTCACTGAGATAGGCTGACATATTTTAAAGGCATTTATCAAAAAGCTGAGAATGACAAAAATAAAATAATATGGGATATATAGAAAGTACACAAAAATCTTTAAGCTTACAAGGGTTGGATGTCTGATACTAGTGTACCTAATTTCTTTACAGGCACAAATTCTTTTCATTGGATGAGAACCCATAGAAGCCTATTTTAAAATTCTTTTCTACCGCTCTTTTCTATCTCTTCTTCCTTAGGAAAATGTTATGTTCAAGTAATGGGCCTTTAAGGGACTACAATGAAAGAGTATGTTCCTAGATGAACAATACAGTGCAGACATTCCTCCAGGTAGCCTGACAACTGCCAATCCAAGCACAGAAAGCCTAGCTTCCACTTCTCCTTCCACCACCACCCCCCATTCCTTTTTGGGTTGGTCAGGTAAAATTTTACCAAGAAAGTGACAATTTGGCCAGATCTCAAAAGACACCTTGTTCCTGGTGAATAGTTAACTGTCAACAAATAATTTGAAAACAGTGAATGGATAGCCAAAGGGCCAAAATAAAAAAAAATAAAATAAAAAAATCAGCAGCCAGGAGAGGCAATGTCATGTCATGTAGCCAAGTGGTGAGTTGCTGGTATTTGTACTTCTTAAAGCAATGGCAATATTATGAAAGCAATGGGCTCGAAAAGAGGGACTTCTGTAATTTCTCAGCCAAATCAGAAAATGTGAGCATTTTCTGCCAAACATGTGAACCAGGATATTTATTGGAACCTGAAATCTACTTTTACAAACTTGAATGTCATAGAAATATGCCGTTAGCCAAATAGCTGTTCAACACTTTTCCGTTTCAATATTTAATTATGTAGTAATTTTTAAGCATTAATCATTTCAATTTAGTATTAACAGTACCTATAAAAAGGACTTTTGAAACTTGCAGTAAATTTCACCAAATTCTCCTTCATTTATCCTTTTCTGCATATAATTTGAAAAATCAAAGCCATTTTTTAAACTTGAAAGGCCATTTTACTTACTAAGTGTTACTAGGGCTTAACATCAGCAGCAGTAAAAAGCTTCTCAACAACTCAAAGGAGAAACAGTAATTAAAGAGGTTTGATTTTGGAAAGATTAACAGTATAACTTCAAATTATGAATATGCTCCACGTGGCTATCATGTGTCTGGGTGTCTCTATGCACATGTGATGGGGCAATGATGGAGACGAACCGGGAATTTGTAGTGACATGAAAAGTCAGCTGTAATTTTAAAAATTAAATGCAGCATATTTTGGCTTTGTAAAAATGTTTTTATCTAAGCCAAAAACATAGATTCCCCCTTGTCCCAAACATCTGAACACGGGTTCATTCTATATTCTCTTTGAAAATGTCTGTTGATACGAGAAAAATGGTCCCCTCTGTCTTCTAGGTGGGAGAGGACCAGTACTCATTAGTCAAACAAGGAGCTCAGGTCTTTCCTTCAACTCACACCACTCTGCAGCTTTTCACCAGGAGTTGGTAGCAAGTATTGGGATGCCAGAGAGAGAATACAAATGTTTTGTGCTTGAATTTTGTTTTAAATTCATGAGACACTTATCTATAAAATAGGCTTTAACATGCTTTTGTATTCTGTGAACCTATTCTAAAATGACAACTGGCAAAAATATTTTTATCTAACTCTAATTATCTTTTTATTGAGTGTAGAAAAACATTACCATTATCAAAATTTCTCTTTCTCTTTCCCTCTCCACTCCCTACCTGTTTTTAACATTTGGGAACTATTCTACACTTACGCTTTCACATAATAAATATAGAGTATTTGCCTATATTTAAAAGTTTAGCATCTTTATGATTTTTAAATATTTTATAATTTTCATTAGAAACAAAACAACATACTGCAATTCCAAGACAAATAATATACCCTTAGGAAGGGGATTATTTTAAACTACTATTTGGCCACTTACACCTTCATTCAAGTAATTTGGGGTCTTGTCATAAACTCAAAATATAGATAATAGCAGCTTGCTGAGGAACAAAGTTCCTTTCATGTATCAGTTAATTTAACTTAATTCTTTTCTTAGAAACTGCCATATCAAGCCCCATCCTAAAGAACTGAATATAGACACAAACAGATAAATATGACTTTTGCTTCAAGGAGCTTACATTTTGATGTATATTGAATAAAAATGGGAGTTCAGAAATCAATCTGACTAACCACAACTTTTCTAAGCCGAAGTAATTTAAAAACTTACCAAGTTTCAAGGTATCTAACTTCTTGGGGGTTGTGCCCTGCTTGGTTCGTTCAAACACAACAAGATATAAATGTCAAAACTCCAAATGCTGGAAATCTGTCAATGGGCTTTGTTACTTTTTGCTGTTGCTGTTTTTTATTTTATTTTTTAATTCCTTCATTCTCTGTCAAAGGCAATGCTAAATGTTATCCAGATATTACCTTTCCTGAATTCAGCCCTGTTTCAAACAGTCTAGTCATCCTGCATGCTTGAGCTGGCAAACATTGTTGGGATAAAGGAATGGCCCCAATGGTCTCTAAGACCCATGGTTAGTCCTGTGGCACTGTCACT